CCCATTCCTGTCTCTGACCCCACTCCTATCCCTTTCAGAGGTGTCTCTGACCCCATTCCTGTCTCTGACCCCACTCCTGTCCTTTCAGAGGTGTCTCTGACCCCATTCCTGTCTCTGACCCCACTCCTGTCCCTTTCAGAGGTGTGTGTACTGCCGCAAGCGGATGAAGAAGGTGTCTGGTGCGTGTATCCAGTGTTCCTACGAGCACTGCTCCACCTCGTTCCACGTCACGTGTGCCCACGCCGCCGGGGTGCCCATGGAGCCCGATGACTGGCCCTACGTCGTGTCCATCACCTGCTTCAAGCACAAAGCAGCAAACCAGAACGTAGGGCTTGGGGCTTCTCTGCTGGGAGGGGTTATTTTTATTTCTTTTCATTTTTTTGGGTTGTTTTGTTTCTGCGGTTTTTGAAAATCGTTTCTCGCTGCCTGTGTTGGAACACAAGCCCTATGAGGAATGACTGAGGGAGCTGGGGGTGTTTAGCCTGGAGAAAAAGGAGATTCAGAGGTGACCTTATTGCTGTCTACAACTTCCTGAAAGGTGGTTGTGGTCAGGTGGGGGTTGGTTATTTTATCCAGGCAACAACAGGCAGAATGAGAGGACACAGCCTTGAGCTGCACCAAGGGAAATATGGGTTGAATACTAGAAAAAAGTTCTGTAAAGAAAGAGTGATGAAGCACTGGAATGGTCTGCCCAGGGAGGTGTGGATTCACCATCCCTGGATGTTTTAAAAAAAAGATTGGATGTGGTGCTTGGTGCTGTGGTTTAGTGGTATGGGTTGGACTCCAAAATCTTGAAGGTCTCTTCCAACCCTGATGATTCTGTGATTCTGTGTTGGCTCAAAAACTTTTATTTTAACAAAAGTTCTGTTTCAACACAGAAGGGTTGTCCAGGAAGCTGTTATTGGGGGTGGCTTTAATCTCCTTGTGACCCAAACTATTCCATGACCCCATGGGATGTTTGTCACCACTGATCCTCCTCCATGTCCCCCACAGGTTCCATTCCGRAGGGAGGTGGCCCTGGGGCAAACAGTGATCACCAAGAACAGGAATGGGCTCTACTATCGCTGCAGGGTCATTGGCACCACCACCCAAACCTTCTACGAGGTCAACTTCGACGACGGCTCCTACAGCGACAACGTCTACCCCGAGAGCATCATTGTAAGGCAGCTSTGGGCAGGGTTGGGGTCTAAATCCAAACCAAACCCAGGGAATTTGGGGAAAAAACTTGGGAAAAAAAATAAAAAAGGAAGGGGAAAAGGAAAAAAAGGGGGAAAAAAAACCCCTACACCATTATTAACATTATTCACATTATTCACGTTATTCACATTATTCACATTATTCACATTATCAACATTATATGATCCTTTAAAATGTCTTTAGTTAGTACCTGGAAAACCTTCTTTTCTCTTCTTCTATTTCTTAAGAAGAAATTTGATTTATTAAGTATTGGGAAAGAAATTGCTGTTCATTAAAAGAGAGTAGGATTATGTTTAGGTGTGTTCTGTATCAGGGTGGGGAGACCCTGTCAGTGCAAATTCTGATCTGTGCTTTGGGGTGGAACAGCAAAGCAAAACTTAACTTTTTCATTTTAATTTCTATGTTGCTGCTTGCCTTGAAAAATCTCATCCTGCTCTTCATGACGGGTCTTGCTTCTGACATTATCTCATTTATTTTTTGGTTGCTTTTACATCTTGCTGAATGCAGATGACTTCCCAGCAAAGCGGTGTTTGTTCTAAGTTTCATCCTATTTGTTTTGTGGTTGAATAATCTTATTTTTCAGCTGACAAGTGTGATTCATGGGGGAAGCAGATTGTCTGTAAGCACTTCTGGTTCAAAACAGGGAATTCACTTAATAGAGGCAATGTCTAGAAGAGGCTGATTTGTCAGCTCATGCATTGCCTTCCTGATTGTGCCACTGATTCACTGAGTTGCCCTGCTTGTTTTGGAGCTCCAGGAGATGAGATGTTTTGGGATTTGTGATGAGAAATGTCCATGAACGGGGTGCTGTCAGCAGAATGAGATGCCAGTGTCGATTCCTGGTCTCTCAGGCTGCTTTTGAGATGCCCACAATTAATCACGAGTGCACAAACCCATCTTACAGCTGATGTTGTGTGATTTTAGCACCCCCCAGCCCCTGAGCTTTGGTGTCATTGTGTCTCTGACCTCTGTCCCTCTGTCCTCAGAGCAGGGACTGCATCCAGCTGGGKCCCCCTCCAGAGGGGGAGCTGGTCCAGCTGCAGTGGACGGATGGRATCATCTACAAGGCCAAATTCATTGCAGCTCAGATCAGTCAGATTTACCAGGTGAGTGTGGCACAGGAGTCCCAGCTCTGGGGTGCTGAGCTGGAYAGAGCAGCAGGAGGATTTGAGAGCACAGATGATTTATTCTCTGAGATTGTCCAGCCTGAACTTGGCACCCCTATTAAACCAYGCTCAGTGTCCTTCCTGCTTGATCCAGAAAAGTGTATTAAAGTCTTGAGCAAAGGAAATAAGAATCCCTTAAAAACTTTTAATAGTTTTAACATTTTGCTGTGCACGTTGCCATGAATAAACATCCCTGGAACATCTGATGCATAATTCATGATATAATCAGTGCTTAGCAAAAAAGGGTTTCATGGGAGGAGATTTTGTACCTGGCTGACTATTTCTGCTGGTTGAAATACAAATGTACTTTAGTAGCTGGGAGTTGTTTCCTTGTGACCTGTGAAAATGCTTTGTTTAAGATGAAAGAAATTCTTATTACCACATTGGCCTGAATACAGGGCTGCTTTTATTAGAAGTGAAAAGCTGCTTTTTTTCAGGCTGCGAATCAAAAATCTGCAGAAATGCGTAGTGCTGTGCCTGGGAGCGGGGAGCAGAGGTGCTGGGCCAGCTGGGGCACGGATATTTTGGGATCCATGGAGCACTGAGGTGCCTGGACAGCATTTTTGGGGTTCAGCATCATCCCCAGAGCTTGGGGGTGCTCATCCCACAAGGATGCATCCATGGCACCACTCCTGCTGCTTCCCTGGCATTCCCTGGAGGCAGCAGGAGTGCCACAAGCTGGGCATGAACTGCTCAAAGCCTGCAAAAGCAGGGGCTGAGCTCTGATTTCATTTTCTGCATCCACAGGTCGAGTTTGAAGACGGTTCTCAGCTCATGGTAAAGCGTGGGGATATTTATACCTTGGAGGAAGAGCTTCCCAAGAGAGTCAAGTCTCGCCTGGTGAGTACCAAAATAGCAAACAATAAACCAGCTGCAGCTTGCAGAACTCCTTCACATTCCCTTCATGTATTTTTTAGACATTAGGTGGATGCAGCCTCCAGTTCCCATGGCTGTAAAAGCACTTGTCATTTCCAAAATACACTGAGTAGAAAAATCCTGGCCTGAGAGGCACCGAAATGATTTTCCCTTGCACGTGCTCAGCTCAGGATTTGATTTTCCCTGGTTAAAAGATTATGTTCAGATCATTTTACACCATCTGAATTCATTTATGTGGAGTCATCCTGTCCAAATGGGAGGTGAGCTGGGCTGCAGCTCAGTGGTTTCTGGAGAACTGATTATCAACGTGGGACCAAACCCCCTTTTCTCACCAAAGTGGAGATTTAGAGTGGAGCTCTTACCTATAAATCTCTTAATCTATGAGATCAGGCTGTCTTTAAGTGCATACAGTGGAATTACAGAGCCTAGAAAAGATGAGGGATTTATTTCAGAGCTTTTTTTTTTTGGTCCCACACTTGCTGGGTGTTTCCAGAGCTGCTGCTTTACCYTTTAAAGCCATTTCATGGGAGTGGAGTGGAGAATTCTCAGGGTTGTTCCAGCTGTCCCAATCCATGACTCTCTGCTTTTTTTTACCCTTCTGTGCCTCTGATGGTTGTTTTTGATGTGTTTGGTGTCTCTGCAGTCCCTCAGCACCGCAGCCCCTCAGGAAGATGTATTTTCAGGAGATGAAGTGAGAGCAGCCAAGCGTCCCCGGCTGGGGAACCCCAGAAATCCCGAAGAATACGGACAAACCCCCGATTATTTGGCCTTTATGGAGAGCCTGTTGCAGACACAGTACCAGCCTGGGACTCAGARCAACATGTTTTAACCAGGATTCCTTCAAAAAAATTTCAATTAACCCTTTTTGAGTTGGTGGAAAAAACAGATAGGAGACTGTGGAATGGAAAACCAGCCCTGTGCAATAGTCTGCTGTGAATTTCTTTCATCTCCTCTTGGTTTGGACTGCAGGAAATCCCTGTCTGGCTGCTACCTCTACCTTGCCAGGAGTTGCTGACCAAGAGCTGGGGAGCTCAGAAACCCTTCAGCTTTTCACAAMGGAGACTTTGGAAGAGTTTCTACAGATGGAGCTTTGTGACTGGTTCTTTTTTTTTTTTTTAATGAGGAAAGGGTTAAAATTTAACAAAAAAGGAACTTTTTCAAATCTGTCAAAACTTTTGTCTTTCAAGGTGCTATTACATTGACTACTGAAGCAGCCTTTGGAATCATGTTTTCTGTACATAGACGTCACCTTTGTGAAGTTTTCTATGAATGAGCATTATTAAAAAAAAAAAGCAAGCAAAAATAGGAAAACAAAAGTTTCCACGAAACATTTTTCTAGATTATGGCTTTAAAAACAGAAAATAAATGAAATCCTCCCCCCCTCACCCCCCAAACGAATCATGACTGATGTTACAGTGGGGAGAGGGAGAGCAAGAGCAGATGTTCTGGAATGTTCTGGGTTTTTTTTTTGTAAAGAAACACTATCTTTGTAAGCTGGGGAAGGTGGGGGAAGAAATGTTTCACAGCTGGGATGTTTCTCATTCGCTCTCTCCCAGCCCTGASGTGGACGTTGGCATCGCTGCCACGTCCCCAGGGAGGGCTTTTAGGRAAAAAATGGCCAGGTTTGGGTCATTCCTGTCATCTTCCTTCCCCATCTTCRCCATCACAGTTGCTTTCTAGTTGAGGATCAGCATGGCTTTGAGTTGCAATGTGCCCCCCTGGTTTGSCAAGTGTTCTGTTGCTGCTTGTGTCACTTCCTTACGAGCCGCCCCCGAGCTCCCTGGAACCTTTCTCTTTTCTTTCTCTCCTTTTTTAATATTTTTTTTTCTTTTTTTTTTTTTTTTTTTTTTTTTTTTTGAGTTGTGCTCCTTACAGTGTGAGAATCATTCCATCACAGAAGCTTGGGAGGTGTTTGTATGTTTTTCTTTTATCCTTATTAAAGAAGAAATTCCCCAAACGCCTTGATTGTCGTGACGTCCTTTTCCTTAAGTAAAGACTGAGCTTTTGAGTTCCTCCTGGGGAAGAGGAGTGCAAGCCCTGCCTTTGATTGGACTCAGCTCGCTGAGGATTGAAGGAGCATTAAARGCAAAACCCAAACCCTGAAGGATTGAGTGGGCAGCTCCCACTTGGACGCTCGGGCATCACCTCCGGCCGAGGAGCAGAGCTTTGGGAAGAATCCAAACCTTGCTGAAGTCACTGGAAAGTCTTCCACTCTCTCTGGAGGATTTCAGACAGTTCAGAAAACGAGGCAGAGCTGGTCCCCAGCTGGGCAGAGCTGGGAAGGTTCAGGTGAAGGGGGCAGAGGGCACCGGACCCTCCCCTCCCTCCACGCCCCACCCGAGCTGGCTGAGCAACCTGCAATTGCTGCACTGCAATCTTTTCCACTTAATTCCCTGAAATTACAGCATGGAAAGAGACAATGTTCTTGCTTTTATGATTATTTTTTAAGCCCCTTTRCAAGGTGGTCGTCGTTCTGGGGAGAGGCTCCTAAGCACGGCTCGGGCTGGATCTTTAAGGGAATAAGTGGGGAGGATTTATGGGCTAGCAGATGGTAGATTAGCATCTTAAGAGACTCCATGGGTATTAAACTAGTGAAAGAGTGGAGATAGAATAAAGCAATTTAATTTTTTTTTTTTAAACTTTGGGTTCGTTCTCCCTTGAGGATTTTGGAGTTCCCATCCTTTCTCCTGCCTCTGCTACGGGTTCTTTTCGTGTGCGTGGCTGCGCGTGCGTGGTTGTAAGACCTTGGAAACATTGTTCTGTTTTGAGATTTGTTTTTTTTTTTTTTTTTTAAATTCTTATTTCTGAGTTTTTTGACGTTTGCAGCAGATGTCTCCACGAATAAAAACCAAACTGAGACTAATAAAAGTTGAAAAAATTGGCAAGGTTCTCCCGAGCCTCGGTTGTTCCTCCTACAGAGCTGTCTCCTGTCGCTCGAAATGTGATTAAACAGAAAACTCGTTGTATAAAAGACTTAAGAATGTTACCAGGCCAAGAGAGGAAATATTTAAAACAATTGAAAGAGAAATTTAACCAGCAGAGGATTTTCTCTTTTTTTTTTTTTTTTTTTTTGGGGAGGTGGGAGGGAAGGGTGGGACGGGATGAGCGGTTGTGAGCGACGGGGAATTTCCTCTGCATGTTCTGCAATAGCACCATTGCTGTATCATATGTAGTCCCTTTTCCCAAATCCTATTTATATTGTAAAAAACAAAAGTGTGTCTCCTCACCCCATATTCAGATGCTGAGTTTTGTTGAAACATGAACCTGGAACTGTCGAACGCCCTTTCTTTGGCACAAGGGTTTTCCTCTCCCTTTTTGTTGATTTTTAAATCCCTCTTTTTGCTTTGGGAATGGCTTGTGCAGATTCGGGATCGTGGCCTCATTGAAAAGGAAATAGGAAATGCACATTCCTGCCCCTTCCTCCAGTGAAATATATTTGTAAGTGTCTGATTATGTGCTATAAAAATAATGATTTTTTTTTTTACTTTCTCCCCCCTAGATTAAGGCTGTGATGTATTTTTTGCCTATTTTTTTTTTCTTTTTCTCTGCCTCTAGGTTCAAAATGAATTAAAAGCTGTTGAGCATTTCAGAGTGACACTTTTCTGGGGGGGTTGAAGTCTCTTCATTTCTAAGTTTAAAATCTTTTGTGCAGCGGGAGGTCCTTGAACCTCCTCAAACARCATCTTCCTGAAACTTCATGGAAACCTTAAATTTCCATCCTGCTGGGCTGAAGATTGGAGCTTTCCTTGGCACCCAGGGCTCCAAGATGCCCAGATTTTGCAAACCCATGGCCCATGAGCTGCTCAGAGTCCCCCAATCAGTGTCACTGTCACACACTGAAGTAATTTGGTGATAATTTCTAGGGCAAGGTTGGGCTCAGCAATTCCTTCCCCCTCCCAGGCTGGTGGAGAGCAGGACAGGAGCTGGGGATTCATCAACGCCTGCCTGGGAAAGATCTTGAGCTTGGCAARGTGAAATGGGGGACACAATTCCATTTTTTCCCTTTGTAAAGGACAGAATTAAAAGAAAATACAGAAAACTAAAAATGGCAGCGTTGGTCGGGTGAGGCTGATGGGGTTGAAGGGACAATCCCAAATTCCCTGAAATCTGCTGAAAATTCCACCTCCATGTTGAGAATTCCACCTCTTTGTCCTCTCTCTCACTTTGGTCCCATGGAACCAAAATTTGGGTTCTCCTTTTAAATCCCTATGGAAACAACCCTTGCAAATGCATTTCTGCAAATCTCCCATGCAGATCCGTGTCCACTCGTGGGATTTTACGGATTTCCCATCCATGGTCTCTCCTGCCTCCCAGTATTTCAGAGCTGGACATCCCAAGATCTCAGACATTCCCTCCTCAGTGCATTTGCTTTATTTTTTGCTTTATTTTTGCTTTATTTTTGCTTTATCTTTTGCTTTATGTTTGCTTCATTTTTGCCTTATTTTTGTTTCATTTTTGCTTCACTTTTGCTTCATTTTTTTGACTGTTCAGCTTAAGGAAAGAGCAAATGACAGAAAAACCTCACCACGTGCTGCAGACATCTGCGCTTTGGCCACTTTTGCACTTTTCCACTATTTCTCGAGGTAATTCCGCGAGGATTTTTCTCTGCTCCTCTTCCCTCGCTGCTCGTATTAGTTCTTCCTCAGCAGTTCTCCCTCAGCTCGAACAAATTGCACCATTTTAATCAAACTCCTCCTCAGACAGGTGAAATTCCCTTCTGGAAGCTTTGGTGGGGTTGCTTTACTCAGGGAATTTCAACTTAAGGTAATCAGGAGCTGTTTTAACCCAAACTTGGCTTTGAAGGTGCTGTTTTAGCCTAAAAGAAATCAGAATTGAGCTCGTGGAATTTCTCTCTGTGTCAGAACACCTGGCCCAGGTGAGAYCTGCAGGGATCCCAGAGCTCCAGGRACAATGAGGGAATAAATTTGGATTCAGCAGGAAGATTCCAGAAGGGTTCCTGATTTCCAGTTCAGGTCAGCTCTTGTCCCTTGTCCCGTGAACAAACGGTGCTGGCACATTCACACAAAAAAAAAAGGCAATTTTGGCACAATCCTGAGGCTCAAATGAGCTGGAGCTGTTGACACGGAATTATTTGGCAGCTTTGAGAGCAGAAGAAGTCCTTGGGTCACTCGCTCATCATCAGAAAATCACTGGGAGTTATTTATTCTGCATGAGAGCAGCAAAACAATTCAATTTTTTTTTTTGGGTTTCCAAGAGGGGAAATGTAAAAGGTCGCTGTTTGGAATCTCAACGGCTTTTTCCTTTGCAACAAACAGAATTTGGGCTCTGCTTTCAGCACAGTTGACTTTGGCTCCCCTCTCCAGCCCAGCTTTGCCATTTCGGGTGCCAGCTGCTGATATCCCCCAGCAAACGAGCTGGGAGCCAAGCTGTCTCTGGAAACAGGAGCCATCCCCTCCCCTGCGCCCCAGATCGGGGTTTAAAAATAAATAAATGGCCAAATCTGCTGCTCGTCTGCTTYGGTGAGCGGAGCCATCTCTGGGGAGCAGAAAATTGGGTTTGATTGGGGTTGGGTACCCGTGGTTCAGGCTGAGATGCTGCTGCTCTGGAGARGAGCTGGGATTCACCTGCCTGGCCAAAGAGAGGAATTTGGGATGATTGGAGAGATGGAATTGTGGGGATGAGAAA